TTGACTGGAGATCCCAATATCTTAGTTCAAAAGGACAAAGTTGTGAAAATTCCATGAAGCACTTAGGAAATTAGAATTCCTAATTCATTCCTATGATACTAAAGTGCTTTCTACAGAGTGAATAGAAGCTAAGATTATATTTTAATGATTCATATCTTGATTAAGTCAAGTGGAGTAGGGTAGAATACTCTTAATAGGAGGTCACCTATGTAAGTATAAAATGGGGCCGCTTCGATTAGAATTGTTTAAGGTTTGAATTCTCTAAACACTTATGAAACCAAGAAGGGTTCAGGGCCAAAATGAACCAAATCATGATAACTAAGTACAGAATAGAGAAGATATCTATGTCAGTACTGTTGTCTTGACTTACACCAAAGGCTGAGTGGTTCAAGACCTATGGTTCACCAATTAACCGAGTAAGTCCAATAGTATTTCACTAAGGGAGGTTGAAGGCCAAAAGCCACCATCCCTGATACAGTATTTTTTCGCACCCTCTCTACATTGTATCATATCATCGCATTTGCATATGCGTACCTGAATTTTCATTCATGTGGGGATTGTAGAAATTGGTTCAAATAATTAACCAAAAATTAGAAAATGAAAAGGTGTGTAAAAGTGGAAAATGAAAAGATGTGATTACGTGTCAACTTCAACCAAATATTTGGACTTGATCCGATGGTCAAATTATAAAAGTAAATAGATCAACTTATTTTACTCGTCGAGTAGATCGTCGTGGTATATTTGGAATCTCGAAACTAATTCCGGATGAATGAGAAATTGCAGATCAAAGTTGGAAAAAATGAAGTGTTGCAACTTTTTGAAAGGATGCAGGTTTTGGCCAAGTGTTGCAACTTTTCGAAAGGATGCAGGTTTTGGCCACACACTACTTCATTTGCACCATTTCTACATCTATAAATAGGACCCTATGGATATAGTTTTGGATATACCAATTGCATTGAGAATTCATTCTCCTCTTGTAATTCTCTCATTTCTAATTCCATAGCATTTTTATGCATTTCATTTGTAAAGGGAAAATTCTGTCAAAAGTTCGTCGATTTCTTGTGGTTTGAAGTGCTACTACCACAAGTTGTGAATTCACTGTATCTTAGAAGACAAGTGTCATTCACCGTGAGTACCATAGTAGGGTAATTTGTCTTAAGGAAAGAGATAATGTCTCGCCTTGGAATATTCTGTGCTTCTACTCCTTTTTTAATCCTTGTTTTGCGTAATCGTTATACCGAAATTCTATCCAAATTTCCATTCATATAAATTGTATTTTGATCACGCTCTTACGGGTTAAAATTGATCAAACAAATATATCAAAAATCAACCCTTGCATAGCTCTTTTTATAAGTCGTCTCCAACAAATATCACTAGTAAATTTATATCATGATCAATTATTCACCTAGTCGTTGACAAAAATAATTGTAAAATTCATGTATATGCACAAATATTAATGTCTACATAAAAACACATAATCTAACATTCAACATGAGCATCATAGCTTTAAAAAAATATATTTTTTTTTTCCTTTAGTAGTCATTAAGTAAGCAAGTAGAAACTAGCATCATAATAGTATAACGTATATATTCCACACTTTCCCATTTTCTTTCTAATACAATACCATATAATCAAACCAATATATATATATTATATATTATATAGAATAACAATAATATCACAATTACTTTGGAATTTACACGAGCTAAAAATGCACTTATGTTGATTACTCATGCATTTAAACCTCTTTTAGAGCATTGATTAAAACATTATTGAAAGGTTTAATATTTTAATTGTTAATTTAAAATAAATTCAATTAATTCCAATGAAAATCATGAAGAGTAGGACTATCATTTTTCTGCCGAGTAATATTTTTCCGCCTTTCCTCCAACAAGTTCGTTCACACTGTAGTTTCAACCTTTCTTAGTATGTTTTCTTAGTTACATCTCAAGTTGTCTTTTTCATGTTATATTACCACTCCTTATATAGGGACAAAAATAACACCCACACTTATAAAAATTAAATCATTTAAAATGTATGTTACACTATAATATTATTAATTTAATTTTGTAACGAACTGAAATTAAAATAGAAACAACAAAATAAAGTGTATTAATTTGAAAATCTAAAACTTTATTTATTTTCCAACAATTTGAATCTAAAAAGTGTTTTTGAGTTTCATAACAAATCCATTTATAAAAGGAAGAATAAATTTCATTAACCCAATCACCTGTTCTTCATCCACCAACCACCATGTAGTCCTCCTTGCTTGAAACTGAGGAACAAATCAAATAGTTGCGCTCCGTCAATTCAATTTTTTCTTCACTACCCATGCCATTCAACTCTTCAAAGGGCTTTGATTTCAGCTTCCAATACATTTTCGAAGTATAGATACAATTTGAATAAACCTCTTAAAGATTACATAGAAATCAAACTGATTAGTACAAGATAAGATATTTGTGAAGATATTCAATCCCAAAATTGTCCGCTTATTGTTTCCAAAATCATATCAAACAACCCATGTGAGAAGTTCATTTACACACAAATCACTGAACACGACTTCAGATTGTTGGAAAATGGGTGATTTGTACATAGATAACACATCAACTAATAAATATAAATAACATAATCCAACATTTGCATAAACATAATAATATGATAACATTATAATTCAACAATAAGAAGAAAGTTAGAATGCAAGCCTTGAGAGTCACGTTGAAGGCGTTGTCCTAAAGTTGTGTGTTGCTTTCCCTTCGTGCGGGTACTTTCGACACTACACGGCTCAAAGATAAAATTTATAAGACTCAAAGCCAATTTTCCTTCTATGTGTATGACTATAAGGAGATAAAGAACGAGTCTCACGTCGAACAGCCAAAAAACTATAAAAATAAAGTATAAAAATGTAAAGAATATAATAATTTAGCCTGTCATTTTTCTAGTTCTATCTTTCAATAAAATATCACATCATTTTATAGGTGAATATCATCCACCCAAGAGTGGAGCTACATAGAGTCTTGTGCAGGCCAATGCCCGCACTGGACTTTGGACTTGACATAAGAAACTCTAGTGTGCTTGCACTGGACCAATAAGAGGGGAAGAAGAAGAAGAAGAAGAAGAAGAAGAAAAAGTGTGCCTGCACGCAATGGCGGAGGAAGAAGAGTTACAGTTGTGGTCGTGAAGTTACATGGAAGAAGGAAATGAGGAAGAAGAGTTTAGATTAGCCAATTTTTAAGTTTTTTAGATTGTGGGTCTTCTCTTCAATTAGGCTTTTTGAAAAAAACAAAAAACAAAAAAGAAGGAAAAAAAAAAAAAAAGGATAAACAATAGGTCCCATTATGAATTTATTGGTCCATCAATTTATTGTTTGTACAATGGACCCCAACATCTTATTCGTTGTTAAAAAAGAGAGTAATGTTTAGAACTATTGTTGATTCGGTAGTTTTCGATCTGACCAAGATTTCATAACTATACTTTGTCAATTCAATCTTTTGTTAGGAACTTGAACAAGTTTAATTGTTGATTTACCTATTACATCAAATATTACAAAATAAATTTTGGAGCTGACTTGATATAAAAAAATAAAAAAATTTGTGCGTCAACAATAAACTTGCGGCTATGATCATGTGAGGCAGGTATGGATGAAATATGGGAAACATGAACTATTTCTCTCGAAAATTTTGCATTGATCACGTGAAACTCTTTTTGTTCATAAACTAATTTTGACCAAAAAAATCATTGTAGTCGATACCTAAAATTGTGTCCGCACTAGACAATCTCTGGCTTCGCCTCTACATCTCCCACATTTAAACCATTAAAATATAATTTATCGTATGAATTACAGTATTTTAATTTTATGTTAAAGCATAAAATAAAAATGTTTAAATTTTGAAAGGTTGAACTGTTGAAGTTTCAAACATTATATGAATATTCTTCAACAAATTATTTTTTTACAAAATCTATTCTCAAGATTGAGGCTCAAACAAGGATTTAATAGAAGATGACCGGGTGGCATTTTCCACATGAATCGGAATCTAGATTTTCATATTTTAGGATTGAAGCCTGTTAAGATATTATCCAATCTCGAATGAGGAGCACGAAGCTTAGTGCATGTAAAAATCACTTATCTCAATATTTTTTAACTCCAAAAAAAAAAAAAAAAAAAAAAAAATTTGGAATTGTGGGTGGCAAAAACTAAAGATTTTGGTAAAGTTTGTTAATAAATGAAAGGTTTGGTAGCTCGATTGCAATTTTCCCTTAAATAATCATTCTTCTATGAAAGAGCATTATCTTATATCTGAAGCAATTACTTCATGCATAAAAATGTTTGAAAATTAGAAATATATTGTGAATATTTGGGGGTTGAAATTAGTTTCTTTTTATTAGATTTCCCATATGAAGCTTTCTCCATTAAATCAAATCAAGATCGACGCTCCTTATTAACACCAACGAAGAAATTGATTTATTTATGATTTAGTATTTTGAGAATAGCGTTACTAACTGTAAGAGTATATGGACAATATTTTAAATCACTTTCACGTGAGTTAAGCGTGCGAAGGGATTGAATCTAAACATATTAAATAGGTTATGAAGTCAACGTCACTTTTAAATATCAAAAAATTATTTTCACACTATCCGAAAGGTTGAGAAATCCCTTCCTAATTTTGTCGAATAAAAATTTTTAGTCTCCCTTTCTTGCATTAAATGATATTTTCACTTTATACAAATAATTGCAATTCTTAAAAATAATTTTCAAGCTCCACTAGTTGAATTCCCTGTGAGCACTAATTTGAAGAACAGAGAATCTACATGTATAGGAAATGAGTTTACGGAATTTCTACAGAATACACACAACATGAGGGGTGGGTGAGTTTTTTTGGGCATTATTTTAAACACGTGAAGTCCACTCCCATGTGAGCATCTGTAGCAATTCTGTAAATTTATTTGCTGTACAAATGGTTTAAACCTTTGAAGAAAGTGTGTGTTTATTGTGCAAGAAGAAATTGAATTTGCTTAAAAAGAAAACTGGGTTATTACTGATAAGAAGTTACAGTCAGTCCACTTATTTTTCTCATATATTCACAAGAGAAAACTAGATAACAGCAACATCAAAAGATACAGACCAAGCATTATCCTTGATAAACCTGTGGCGGGACGAGAGATGGACCGAAAAACAAAATTCAGATATAAGTTATCATTCGACTAACTTTTTCTAGAATGCTCGACTTCCATGGTACGACCGTAACATAGTGAGCTTTGATTAAGAAGCTGCAGCTAGGGGAGGCCAATGAGATTCCTCTTGGAAGAACTTGGGAGGAGGATCAGTTTTGTCAATTTCATATCTGTTTTCAACCTCCTCCTCTTCCTCTTCCTCTTCCTCTTCCTCTTCCTCTTCTATGTCTTCAGCATCCCACAAAAATCTAGCATACGAGGCTAGCACATAACTGCACAGGCATTAGTATGTTTTTATTCGGCAAAAACATATTAGATAACACATTTACAGCACAACTTGGCTATAAGATGCTCATCAAGAATTCAAAACCAAGGTATTAATCCAGGACTCCGTTAAATAAATAAACATGAAGGAATGAGCAAGCGAGGTCATGACCCTTTACGCGAGCCTAGGAAGATGAATATATTTATGAAACACAAATAGCTCGTAGACAAGGGTGGCGAACTGTTCCCATAATATTCCACTTGGTAGAAATTGTCATGAAGGCTTACGTGGGTAAATGTTTAAAGTACGACTTCAGAACCAATGAATAAACAACACGTAAGATGGTGAATAAAGCGCGAACACTTAACATAATTAGTTAGAAATTCACCAATAAACGGCCGCCACTTATCATTTACCAAATGACCTAATTGCCCCGAAACCCCAAAAAGAAATCCATGAATAGGTGGTCTCGCCTCGAAGAATAGACTTGTGCAAATTCAAATATCTCCCAAATAGCCTTTTATCCTCTTGCTCCTCCCAGATAATTTGCATAGGAAACAACTACATCTAATTACCTTATTATTCACAACTCACAAGTTGCCAAAGTCCGAGTTGTTTCATTTGTGTTTTTGACGAAGTTTGGAAGGGAGGACGAAATTACCAGTCACTGGGGTCAGTTTTAACAGCTTGATCAAAATAAGCTTCTGCTCGTGCAGCATCCTTCTTAGTCTGCCAAATTAGATCAGCATAGAGTGATAAAACACTGCCATCACTTGGATCAGCCAAAATTGCCCTTCCACAATACTCTTCTGCTTTTGCAAAATCTCCTTTAACCTGCACCACATCAATAACTTCCCCCAATCAAATTTCACCACAAGTGAAACATTTAGCCCCTGTTTGGTTAAGCTAAAAATCTGATCTGATTGTCGAATAATTTTAACTACATATTGGACCTATAATCTTTCAACCACACATTCCATCAACTTCTATCAAAATATACTAAAATCTTATTTTTATCTAAAGGAAACAGGGCCTTAATATACAATTTGGATCATTTTGATCAAAGAATATATAGAATTTGGATAAGTTTGATCAATAATAGTATAGAATTAGAATAAGTTTGATCACGAATAGTATAAAATTAGCGATCAAGAAAAGCAAAGAATTAGAATAAGTTTGATCACGAATAGTATAAAATTGGTGATCAAGAAAAGCAAATAATTTGGATCATTTTGACCAAGAAAATCAAAGAATCTGGATTATTTTGATGAGTATAGTATAGAATTTATATATAATCATACAAAAATGAAATCAATTCAACATCTTGAGCTACTTTCTAAATTTCAAGATTGAATAATATCAACATAAAATGCATGCAAGTTAATAATTATTTTCACATTTAATACAAAATTTCTACCTCTTTCAAGAACTTGGCATAATTTGCTAACAAGAGAGAATTGCAAGGATTTGCTTCAATCATTTTTTGGTAATAAGAATCTGCACTCTCATTCCCATTCCAGCTATTCGGATCTTGTGAACCAGATCCCATCCCATCATCCGATCCTCTCCCGCCACCACCCCCGCACACCCTGCCACCACCTTCTCCGCTTCCACCGCCCATCACAAAAGCCTGCGGCGCCCTTGCATTATCTGCCACCGCCACACACCCTTCTTCCTCCGCCACCCCCAGCCCGGAGCTGGACAACAACATGGACCCAGACCCGGACCCCACCTCATGACCTTCTCTTCCACCCTTGACCTTCATAGACTTGGGTGTCCCTGCCCGGTTCACTCTCTTCTTCGGCTTCAACGACTCCCTGATATCTGACTCAAACAGAGGTCCGGTTCTCCCCGGGCTATCTTCAAATCTAAACGAACTTTTCAAGCAGACCGATCGGGTTCTTGTCAACTGTGGTATTACAATATCGGATTCGGGTGATGACCCGACTGTTGAATTGGGTATCCATGAATTCAAGATTGGTGATGAAGAGCTTCGCAATAACATTATTCTTTATCCTTCTTGATTTTGAAGATTGATTTAAAAAGAGAGAGGAAAGTGAGCTACCTCTGAGCCCTCCGAATCCGTGTTGGAGGGGAGAGAGTGGAGAGTGATGAGTTTATACCGCATTTCATAGGAATGGGGAGTGGACGAGTGGTTGAATGAGTGGAAAAAGACAAATTCATGGAATTAATTATTATGGTAAATTTCACTCTACATCCTCGATGTTTCGTACATTTAGCTTCTATGCCCTCAACCTATTATTTATTAAAATCATATTACTAATCTTTTAATATAGCGATACCTTTGCCTTCATCTAAAAAATATAGGAATGACAAAATGTCTCATCTCATTGAGGAAGATAATGGGGCGATGACCATGCCTTGACCCATCTCGATTAGTCGATTCAAATACATCCTAAAGAAATAAGGATATTTATATGATTAAAGAAATAAGGATATTTATATTCATATCTCCCCTCTTCAAATTTTCACTACCTTGATCCAATCCAATGTTACCCTAATTGATAACATTTATTTGAAATTCAAATTGGACGAACACTAAGGTTTATATAACGTGATAAATTTCATGAACATTAAGAAAATCTACCCCATTTAGGTTTCTAAATGAAATTCGAAGTCAACGGATTGCTTTAGAATAAAACTCTTTTTTAATAATTTTACCCTTTCAATCCGCCATAATGTAAGTGTCACCATGCCATTATAAATGTTTATATTTAATTAGGGAGACATGTGTCATATTTTAAAATTTTTAATACACAAGTGCAATAAAATGTAAATTGGAAATATGAATGTCACACTTAAGAAATGTTGGGACCCATGTGGAATTTACATTAATTATTGTGGCATAGAGTGGAATTGTTCAAACCGATAACCTGTGGATCCCCAAGATTTGGGCCCACTTAGAGGTGAGACCAAAACTGACCCATGAAAGTAAAAAATATCTTAAAAACAACTACTTTTGGCACCTTTATGTATATTTCAATTGTACTGTATGTCCTAATTTACACATTCAGGGCATGTTTGACACTGATTATGAGGTTTAATTTTTTGATCATTAAAAAGAAAAGTGAGTTCCACTTATGAGTGAAGTAGTAAAAAATGAAAGCTGACTATGTTAAATAACGATTAAAAAATTAATTTTTTTTTGCTTGAAAAATCAGAACCAAACGAGTGCTTATTTATCAACTGATGATATGATGAAATTTGACTAAATCAAAATCTCACAATCAAATAAAAAAAGTTGCCCCAATTTCTTTTTGTCATTATGCCACATTACATGAGTACAACCGTTAAAGTGGTGAAATTCTTTTTACAATTTTAATTCAATTTATTGTCACCTCATCAATCTGTAAAGGAATCTATCAATGATGATATGCAAGAAGCATTTTTAATATATTTTCCTATTTTAGATCCTCTTGAAGTAATTGATAAGCGTCGTTGGTACAAAAAATATCATCATTAGAATAAATTTATTATGCCTCCATTTGTTTCTCATTTTTGGAAGAATGAGAATGAAAAATATAGTCGTTACGAGTTTTACACAAAAGATAGAAATTCAAATTTAATGACTTGATGTGATAGATAACGATCATATTTTTCATTTTAATGAGGAAAGAATGGGAACTGAACAGGGGTTATATATATTAAAGAACTAAGTAATTATAAACTATCATGCCGTCTCCAAAAAATAATAATAATAAATAAATAAATTAATTAATTAATAAAGACATTTGAGATACAAGTAATACAAACCTAACGAATAAAGAAATGGTTAAAATGGAGATCGCGATAAACCGAAAATAAAAAATAAAAAATGAGAAATAAAATTTTTCGTGAGACCTATCTCTTTATATTTCTTAATAATTTATAGTCACAATATTTATAATCATTAATAGTCAAGATTTATACAATTATTGGTTCTAAATCTATCACAAGTTGCAATAAAGGACGAAAATATTTCGCATGAAATATAATATATAATTTTCTATCACATCGCCACCCAAATGATAAAATAAAGTAATGTTACTTGATTGAATTTTGTGATCGTTGAATTGATCCGTTTGGCCGTTTCCGCCATACAAGCATGGTAGAGGAACAATGACCGTTAACTTTGCGGGCGCTTACTGGTTTCAGTGCGCGACAAATCGCGTTGTGACACTTCTCCTGTTGGTGGAAAGGACATCTTGGCTACAAGCGGATAAGTTTCTCTTCCTTTTCTTTTTACTAGACTAATTTTTTACTCAAAGGTAAATTGCATCCATGGCCACAAAAATTTGAGCAAAATTTCAATGGAGCCATTATCGAAATTCAATTTAATTTTAAATTTAAAAATTTTGACACATATGAACCTTAAAAATCGATAGATTTTGTTATGTCTCTTCTAATGAGACTCAAAAGAACAACACGTGATAGTTAGCTAGCAAACACAAATAGGGACATACTCCAAATTACTGTCTTACCTAATCGAGCCAATGCCATACACTAAAGTAGTCTAAGTGATGTATCACCTCCGTTGAGGTGCCATGTAGAGACCGACCTCCGTGACCTAGTTGATATGCTATAGTCTATTGCATAAGTGATATGAGGAAATCATCCTCTTGCATTAACAGAAGGCATCTTCTTCCAAGAGATCTTTCATACAAGATTTTTTTTTTGATTGATTAATGTGGCATCTTTACAGTAGACTCTTAAATGATCAACTTATCATTCTACTTTTTAGACGTCCAACCTAGGCTATAAGGGGGTTACTTTTCATAAGCATTAAATACTACTCGGCCTATGATTGATGGAGTGATATTTAGGAGGAGTTGCCTCCCTCAACCATTAGGATGAGATCATATGTCTTTCCATTCAAAAGTAACCACTCCTCTTATACTATAAAAGCTTGCACTTAGTGTTAGTTGAAGGTAATGTAAATTTATATACTTAACTGTATCATTGCTCTCTCTTATTTTACTCTTCATAAAACCAATTCTACTTTACCCTCCTGGTATTCGAACACCATTTGTGGCTCACATCTAAGCACGTCCGTTCCATACCAAAATACATTCTTATAAGTGACTGATTTGACCATCGAAGTGTACATGGCCACCTCCCTCATCTCTAGAGAAGTTTACATGTTGCTAATGGTTGTGCAAGCAAGAGTTTGTGTAGGCGTGAATAAGCTACCTATCTTCAAGAGCTTCGTCCTCCATGCTAGGACATTGTCTCTGTATGACAGTTTCATTAAGCTGCCTATCTTCCAAAGCCACGTCCTCTATGATAGGATCTCGCCTCTGCATAATAGCTTCATCAAGCTGTCTATCTTCCAGAGCATCATCCTTCATGCTAAGACACACTTCTACATGATAGCTTTTATCAATCTACCTATCTTTCAATGCATCTTCCTCCATGCTAGGATGCTTATCTTTTAAAGCATGTACTCCATGGTAGGACCTCACATTTGCACCACAGTTTTCATCAAGTTGTCTATCTTACAAAGCCTTATCCTTTATGCCAGGACATTGCCTCTGCATCACTACTTCATCAAAGTTGTCTACCTTTTAGAGCTTCGTCATCTAAGCTAGTATATATATATACACACACACACACACACACACACACACACACACACTTGGGGAACTATTGCATTGTGCTCAATCACACAACTGAACAAACAATCACCTCGCCAAAGGAAAGTAAAAAAAATCCAAGCTAGATTATCACTTCGACAATGGATCACCCCACCACTTTATGATTTGCTCAACCAAAAACTCTAAGTATCATACAAATTTTCATACCTGGACTTGGGAGGTTATTGTTACACTCTTCTAATGAGGCTCCAAAGAATGCGATGTAACAACCAGCTAGGAAGCACAAATAGGCCCACACTTCACATTATTGTCCTACCTGGTTGAGCTGAGGCCATATACTGAGGTAGCCAAAGAGATGTATCTCCTTCATCGAGGATTTCATACAGAGACCGATCTCGTGGCCTAGGTAATGTTCTATAACTTGTTCCAGAAGAAACTTAAGGCAATAGCCTCTTGCATTGATAAAAGGCATCTACTATTTCACCTCTTTCAAGAAATCTTTCATATAATATCTTCTTATGATTGATTGATGTCACATCTCTGCAACAGATGCCTAAATGGTCAACTTATGAATCTATTTTTCAAAAGTTATACCTTGGCTATAAGATGGCTAATTTTCAGAAACATCTGATGCTCCTCGCCTATGATAGGAGATTGACACATAGGAGGCAATGTATCGACCATCAAGATGAGGCTACATAGCTTTTCATCCAACAATAACCACTCCTCTTTTTCTAATATAAAGCTCACAATTAATGTCATTTGTAGGTGATGCAATGTTAACATTCAATTGTATCATTGCTCTCTCTTATTTTACTCTTAATAAATTGGCTCAATCCGAACCCCATGATATCCATTCGAACACCATTGTAGCTTACGTATAAGCACTTTCTACACCTAAATACATTATAATAAATGACTGACTTGATCGACAAGTACACGCAACCGCCTCTCCCACCTTCGGAGAAGGGCACATGTTAGCGATTTGTCCAAATGTGCAGGCAAGAGATTGTGTGGACGTGACTGAAAGTTATATCATTAGCTAATTGGAAGTTATACCATTACTGATCTTCTACATTATCAATATGTGGTACCTTGAAAGCATAAATAGTGAAACGAGGGTTATGAAAATATATTAAACCCTTATATGAATTTGGTTTTTCGAAAAGTAGTTTTGTGGAAAGTAATTTTTTGAAATTTTTGTGTTTAAAAATGAGTGGGAAAAAAATTCAAACAACGGCTTAATTTTTATAATAATTATTATTATTTTTTAAATTCATATGCTTTATTTATTCATACTCTTAAGATGTGTCTAATGAATTGGCAAGAACTTAATAATTCTTCATCTTTTCTAGTTTGATTTTCATTGTTGTTTTAGAAAGCAATAATGCTATATATAGCACCAATGACACTATAACATCCGTCTATGTGGTGTTATGTAATATAGTCTCAATAAAATGTGAAATTAATCGACTCATTTAATTGTACTTATCATTTAATATCATTTTAATGCCACATAAATTGATCTTTTAACATTAGTA